ATCTTATTTTATTTACTTTTGACATTGTATTATGGCCCAAAAAGCTGAGGCTAAAGTGATTTTTTAAATTAATTAATTAACGTATTACTTATTTTTGGCTGCGTTGGGTCTTCAATGCTGGGCGTGGGCTTTCTCTAGTTGTGGCAAGCGGGGGCTACTCTTTGTTGCGGTGCGCGGGCTTCTCATTGTGGTGGCTTCTCTTGTGGAGCACAGGCTCTAGGTGCGTGGGATTCAGTAGTTGTGGCTCATGGGCTCTAGGCATGAGGGCTCAGTAGCTGTGGCGCATGGGCTTAGTTGTTCCGCCGCATGTGGGATCTTCCCGGACCAGGGCTTGAACCCATGTCCCCTGCATCAGCAGGCGGATTCTTAACCACTGCGTCACCAGGGAAGTCCTGAGGCTAAAGTGATTTTTATTCCTTGCTAGGTAAACTCCTTTTGCCACCCAGACGTTTACGGGATTTGTTGTTGTCGTTTTGCTTTACTCCGTGTTACAAACATTCCACCCTGATGTGTGTGCGTGTGAATCTCTTGTCTTTGGTTTTGCCTTGAATGCAGTGTGGCGCCTGTGACTTGCACACCCAGGTAACCTCCGCAGCTTGGGAAAGTTTCCTCTACTGATGCCCTAGTCAGTGTTTCTGACCAGTGACTGTTTCCGAGCCAGGTCCTGTTTTCTTCCTAAGGACTTACTTCCAATAATTTTCAGGTTGGATCTCTGGCCCCTGATTTACATAGATGATTTTCTCTTTCTACTTTGATCTCTTTAGGCTTTTTTCCATAATCTAGGAGAGATTCTTAAGTTTATCCTCTATGTCATTGGCGAGATTTTTCTGGGTGATTTCTGCTCTTGGTTCTTGCCCCCAAAGTGGATATTAATTCTGCTATTGGCACTTTTTAAATTTCCTAAGTATTTGTCCATTTCCCATTTCAGTTATTCTGTTGTCTTTTCATATTGGAGTCTCTCTTTATTACTTATGTCCTTGTTGCAAAAGGCATTGCCTTTAACTTTTTAGAGAATACCAAAAACTTCTTTCTCATTTTCTTCTGGTTCCTTGGGCAAATCAAAGGTTGTTCTCCCTGTGTTTTTCCAGGATAATATTCTCTTTTCCCTTCTTCTATAGGGTCATGGACATCTGTCACTCTTTTTGTGTCTCAGCATCTGAATCTCTTCCTTCCTCCTTCCTACATTTGGAGACTCTCCCATTTTGTGGAGCAAAGCTTGTTTTCCATATAGAAACTGAAAATGCTGGAAACTCGATTTCTCCATCTCCCTTACCATCAGGGCACACGGGATAGGCTCTGCCAATTAGATGTCTCTGGTCTAGGCACTAATATGAGTGGATCAAGGAAGCAGAGCAGAACTGGCCAACCCCAGTTTCCAGATGCAGCATAGCGGCAGTTCTAGAGGCAGCACCTAGGGTCGGGTACAAGCACTAATGTCCACAGCCAGCTGTGGCATTTAGGAGTGTCACCATGGGAGCAATTAAATAGCTTATTATATAGTCTTTGAATCTGCTCTTTAGTCTCAAAGCTATGGAAGCTCCTCGACATCAGTTTAATAAATTAATTTTGTTTATATTGTCAGAGACTAATTCACAACTAATTTACAACTAAGAACCCTGCATGATACGATCAATATCTTTTAAACAGACCCCATGGTGGTCTTACTTTCTGGTTACCATTTCTTAAATGAGTGGTCATCTGCTTTTATAACACAGGAAATCCTTGACTCCACTCTATCCACCTGGGTCAGGGTCGAACCCATTCTCAGAGGAGATCTGGATGTCATAGTCCATTTCTGGCCCAGTTCCTGGTGTCTTCAGGTTTTCATTCTGTGCAGGTCTGTTGGTTGGGGCTGGGATTTCCTAGCTCTGAGACAGTAGAAATAGAGGTCTGATGGGGGAAGGGGTAGCTACCTAGGGCTCTGTCGGGTACAGATCTTGCCCAGAGGATCAGTTTCCTCACCTATTAAAGTGGAGGATGGGATTTGGTGATTTCTAAAGGCTACATACCTGTATATGCACGCAAGGCTGACCCACAAGTGATGAGGCAGGCTAAGAGGGACTAGAGACAGGAACCAAGCTAAACGGTGCTGGGTCTGGGAGAGCTTCCGGCATTACACTCACTCTCTAGAAGGACAAACTAAGTATGAAAGCTTGTCATCTCATAATCAAACTGTAAGCAGGGGATTAGCAACAGGATCAGATAAACTGCCCAGGATTCTCGATTCTCTTTATTCTTTACCCTAACGAATGCTGCTCTCCTTTTGATTAAGTGTGGAATATGCAATGGGAAATATTGCAATTTAGACACTTTTTGAACTGTAATCATTAGTCAATATAAAACAGAAGGAAACAAAATCAAATCTGTTTCTTCTACCTCTGCCATGGTGATCAAGCACAATCCTCTAACTGTAATCAGAGGTAGGGCTAAAATATCAAAGCCATGTGCTTTAAAGAATTTAATTGGAGACTCAGCCATCATCCCAATGCACAACCACTTTTTTTCTCTTTAAAGAAAAGGAGGATTTAAGCATCAGTTAAGTCATCCTCCATTTAAGAGCCTGATGCCCTAGAAAGTCTTCTTATCTACATTCTATTCAGGGAAATCAAGGCTCAATATATATTGCATTTGGGTCAAACTGTGGTTTAGTAGTTCTATTGTTATCAATAAGTTGACAAATTAAGGGTCAAATAGACCATGAGAGAACACTGGAGGCTAACTTTGAGAACAATGTTGAAAAGGTTCAGTGGGGATAGGAAAAGCAGTGCTAGGAATCATAGAAACCAATACCAATCGTTTCATACATTTGCATGGTGTTTACAGTCTGCAATGTGCTTTCACATTCATTATTCATTATAAGCAGAGTTGGGACTAGAACCCAAGTCTCTTGACTCCTTGCCTGGGCATCTTCCCCTGGGCTCAGTTATATGGTTGAGTGCTTCATCTGTGCATGGTACAGGGGGCCTAAAAAATGTGACCTGTCCTATTTGGAATTTGCAAGTACCACCAGAAAACATTCACACTGCTTATCTTTCTGCTAAGGAAATCTTGAAGGGTTCTTGTTGTTTTCCTGTCTATTAAGCCATATGTGTGAGCAAAGAGAAAACTTATAATAAAAAACCTGCAGAAAGGAAGCTGTGTCTTATTGCCAGAGCCTTCTCAGTGCCCTGCAGGTACCTGAGGCTCAGGTTACACAGCTGCAGCCATCTGGGTGATCTGGAACTAGAGGGGATCAGGATCTAAAGGTGAGATATTAAGGTAGTGGGGTAATCTATGAGTCAACCTGACAAATGAAATATCATGTGCCTGACTGGGAATTTCTAAGGTTCAAATGGAAGGTGAAAACACCAAGCCCCCTTGGTTTAAAAAAATCATTTTAGGATGCAAATGTGAATTGCTGACCTACTATTCTAGGTGTATATTTATTTTTATTCTTTTTGTTTCTTTGGTAGGATTGTGCTAATATTGTGTACTCAACGTGCCTTTGAATTTTCCTGGTGACCATTCAGTGGAGCCCCATCTAATGTTAGTGTTAGTGATTGAAATGAAAGCATATAGTGAAAATTTTTGCTTGAAATTATCCTTGAAAAATACTTAGGAAGGTGCCCTGTTGGTGCCCAACCCAGCCTGTTTTTCCTCCAGCTTTGGAATTAATTGCTGTTTATTGGTTGAGCCCCAGAAGCAGTAGCTGGCTTTTAACTGAGGACCATGCTGAATAAAAAATGGGTACCATTAAACAACAAAATCATAGAGGTGGGAGAGTTGACAATGAAAGATGGGCAGAGACTGGGAGACCTAGTGTGGGAGGGCAGGTTCACATCTTGCACCTCCTGCTCACAAGAACCCTGGTGGTAAGGACCACCAGTGGCATTTCCATGGTTACCTCTCTCCTCTCTCTGCTCTCATGCTGAATTTGTGGATGCGACATGCATCAATGATGGGACTACACTGTAATGAGAACCTGACCTCACACAAGGGGACAAGTGGGAGAGAACTGTTTAGGGCAGAATCTGCTAGACTTGACAACTCATTGAAGAGAGGAGTTGGGGGGAGAGAGATGTCAGGAATGATTCAGGGTTGTGACTGGGATGGTTGGAAGTAGGGAGGTATAATGTAGGGAGGACTCAGGAAGTTGAATTTAGAGCCATGTTGAGTTTGAGGGTTCTCAAGTAAAGGTTGGATAACCTATAGAGAATACTAGTTTGAGTCTGCAACTCAAGAGTGAGAAATAAAAATATGAAAATTGTCTATAATTGGGAGCTTCTACTTAAAATTAAATTTATTCTGCAAGGTAGGAGAAACCTAGTCTCATTCAATTCGAGGTCTATTCCACCCTTTCTCTGGGAATGCACTAACACAGAATGTCTTAAGCTAACTGGTTGAGTGAAGGACTAACGGTTAGAAATATGGGTAAAAATCTCATTAAATATTTCAAAATAATATCTCACTACAAACCACCTGCTAAGGATTCCCGAGAAGATTCAATTGTCAAAAGAGGGACTGCAACTTTCCAAATATTTGTTGGGTTTTTTTTTGTCTTAAAAAATGAGCGCTATATTGTCTTTGTCTTATTCCAGACACATAGGAAAAGTTAAAATAATATAAGCTTATTGTAAGAAAATTTTGGTAAGCAAAAAGAAGGAATTATCTTACCATTTAACGATAATCACTTTGAAAACCTAAGTTCATATCCTTTCAGATTCCTCTTTATATGCCTATCCTTCTTTTTTCCACTTTAAAACATTGTATACTCAAGATAAATGAAAATACATGACCACACAGAGAGTTTTACATGATACATTCATAGCAGTGTCATTCATAATAGCTCCAAAGTTGAACTAATCCAAATATTCAACAACTGATAATGAATAAAGAGAATATGGTATATCCATCCAATAGGTTAGTATTAGGCCATAAAAAAGAACAGAAACCATTAATACATGCTACAGCATGGGTGAACCTCGAAAACATTATGCTAAGTGAAAGAAGCCAGATGCAAAGCCACACAATTTATGATTCCATTTACATGAAATGTCCAGAATATGCAAATCTATAGAGACAGAAAGTAGATTAGTGGTTGTCTGAGGCTGCAGGCAGAGTGGGGAATGACTGTAAATGGGTGCAAGGTTTCTTTGGGGGCTGATGAAACTGTTCTACTATTAGAGTGCAGTGATGGTTATACAATTCCATAAAGTTATGTAAAATCATCGTATGCTTAAAATGAATGAATTTTATGGTATATAAATTATACCGCAATTAAGCTGTCAAAATATATATCATGGACCTCTTTTCATTCACCTAAAACTGTAGCTGGAAATATAAATCTAATCAAATCCCTACTGTTGGGCAGAGATTCTCTCTCCTGCCCTGATATCTGCTGTGATTCCCTAAGAGTGGGTGAGGCCGTGTATCACAGCCACGAATGAGGCAAACTGCATCCTAAAGCATACCCCCAGATACGCACATCATCAAGAACGAGCAGACCCTCTTCAGAAGTCACACCGCTCTACACAGCTTCCTAAAGGAAGCAGAGAGGCCACCAAGACCGAGGCTGCAGACATCAAACCTCTGGACATTAGTTTCTACCTCTTGCTGTTTTGTGAGGACAAAGATGTGTGCTCCATGTTTGTGTTCCTTCAACAGGCCCTGGGGGGTGTCTCCGGGCTCATCCTAGCCTGCTCCAACACTATCAAAAGAGGCTCCTGGCTGACGTAGCAGGTCCAGTCCATCCAGGGGTCCACTGGGAGATCTCAGCCGAGCTATCTCACCTACTCCTTCCCTTGGAGTTGCTATCCTGTTTTATCTTTGTTTTAACATGTAGAACTGGCATTGTGTCTATTTTCTCAACACTATTCCTAGGTCTAGTTCAGTTAGCAAGTGCATATTATATACTTGTTAAAATAAAAAGGTGGCATAACTTGTCTCCCTTTGTGTTTGAGTCTCTGTGAAACTTTTCATTGGTAGTGGACCCAAGAGGGATTAAAGCTCCATCCATCAACATTTCTACTACCACAGACTGGCCCCCTGTCAGACTAGACTGACTGACTTTTGAAGTTTCACTGGCTTCCAGGTGTGGTCACAGCTCTCCTATGTTCTGGGCTTACCTGAGGTCAAAAGCCAGCAGACTTGTGCAAGGGTGAGTTGGGATGGGCCAGACTGCATTCAGATAAGCTGTTCCTGCGATCTGATAAAATGCAAACAATGATTACAGCCTCTGGCTGAAAACTGGGCTGCAAAGCTGGGTAAAATTGTGCAGAAATTCATGGGCAGATACAAACTATCATTAGTCTACATTGGCTTGATTTCTCAAAACCAATAAAGAAAGTAGCTTGTGATACCATTTTCCCCTCAAGAAAAATCCAAGTCTTTTCTCCCTCTCAAAACAGGGAGAAAATATTCATTTAGGAAGTCTGATAATCTATTCCTTTTTTACACGGAGATAATTTTTTCCCATTGTACAATGAGATGTGAAGAATAGAGAGTAAACAGACCTTTTGTAATAGACTTCATTATCTTTAATACTGCATTTAATAAAAGCCTACCACTATTGTTTACCAAGTTTTCATCTCTTTACAAAACGCTGATGCTTATCTGATCTGGTCAAGTGTTTGCATCACAGGCTGGTACAATAGTCTTGAGAAGAGAATTAAGCTCAGCTATAGAGCAGGACACATCAAATATTTAAACTGTCACTTGTGCTTAATTCTTCCTGGAAAAAGTTAACCTTGAGTATTTTTTTAAAGAATTTATTTGATATAAAGTTGAAAAGCAACCATTGCTTTAATTCTATGTCTACTCCCAGAGCAGAACTATATCCTTAGATAATTTGTAAAATTGATATATGCTAAATGTGACAAGACCTAGTGAAACGGGAGGGAAGGGGGCAGGGCACAACTTTGGAAAGAATGACATAGCTCGAGGACATAACGTAAGCTGATTTGAACAAAATGGGTCCAAGATGTAGGACAAGTCGATTTCCATTAGATCTTGAGCCTCAGTATAAGCTCACTGTAACACATCAGCAAGCTAAATGACACACCCACAGGCTCCATGACAGTCCCAAGACTGACCATAAGGATCAAGAAGTGGGTGGTGCGGGGCTTCCCTGGTTGCGCAGTGGTTAAGAATCCACCTGCCAATGCAGAGGACATGGGTTCAAGCCCTGGTCCAGGAAGATCCCACATGCCGTGGAGCAACTAAGCCCGTGCGCCACAACTACTGAGCCTGCGCTCTAGAGCCCATGTGCCACAACTACTGAGCCTGCGAGCCACAACTGCTGAAGCCTGTGAGCCTGGAGCCCGTGCTCCGCAAGAGAAGCCACTGCAATGAGAAGCCCACGCACCGCAACGAAGAGTAGCCCCCGTCTGCCGCAACTAGAGAAAGCCCAACCCAGCCAAAAATAAATAAATAAATAAATAAATAAATTAAAAAAAAGTGGGTGGTGGCCCAATTCCTGGAAATCCCCACCCCTTCTTGAAATGGCTGGAATACTTCTCCCACTCATTAGCCTATGAAATTACCCACCCCTGTAAAAACTGACAACCCCATACCCTGGTGCTTTTCTCACCTTCTGAGATGGCCCACACTCTGTCTGTGGAGTGTTTCTCTCTAAATAAATCAATTTGTTACCTATCACTTTGTCTCTCACTGAATTCTTTCTGTGATGAGACATCAAGAACCTGAGCTTCACTAAATCCTGAAACCAGGTGTGTGATCTCATTTGGAAGACTGTGGGTTTCAGCTGGGTTTGAGTCCCAGCCTTGTGGGTTCAAGCCCCAATCTGAGGTGCACGGTTTCTCTAGAATCTCGCACACAGGGCACATTGTAACAAACAACAAATATTAAATCCTCCCCCTCTCCCTCATCCCTCCTGGTACCTGCCCAGAGTCATGGTCTAAGATAACATGACCAGTCTTCCAGAGAGACGATAACAACTGTGTTACTTCTCTAGCCAAGATGAAGGATTCTTGCATTCACTCCCTCACTGGATAACATTGGATCGTTAAGTTCCAGGTGTTGCCAATGGCTGCTGGGGAGGAGAAATGAAGGAGATATGGAGCCCACCGTGAAGAGCTGTATGTTTGACAGGAGCAGATCAAACACACTTCGGAAAAATTACAGTGCAATGGGACAATCCAGTGCGTGCCTTGTTCAGAAGATAGAGAAATTATTTTCACATCAGTAGAGGATGCTGGCAAGACAGGTAAAATCTGCATTCATGGAGGTGGGCCTGGGAAAGTATTTTGAGAAGAGGGAACTAGATGAGAAAAAGTCCTGAGGCAGGAAGTGAAGGAAGCTGTGTGTGTGTGTGTGTGTGTGTGTGTGTGTGTGTGTGTGTGTGTGT